TAAAAGCGGTGCAAGATTTCCTACAGTTCGAAGCCGGTAGAAGGGGCTGACCCAGATGTCATTTGCAGATGCAAGATTCGAGTTGCAGGCAGTTTGTCTGATATCCCTCCACATCTGCCTCATTTCGCCAGCTTGGCCTCCAGGGCTGCAATGGGCAATGTTTTTGCGAACTAGCTTTGGCAAATGAAGGGTACGGATCAAGAACAGAGAGCTAAGGCTTGGTGTGTCATTTGGGCTCGCCTGCGTCCGACCTGTGCAAGGCAGATGGCCAAGCACCTAGGCAAGGTGGGATGCTTGCAAGTTGATTCGGATTTTTGAGCCTGCAAGTCTTTGGCACACTTTTGTGGCAGGTTCCAAGATTCGCGATCTTGGAAGGAAGGCGCGTGCTAGGGTGACATTAGGGTAGGGACATCTAGCATGCCAATGGATGCCTGTCATGATGTTGGATGTTGGGATGCTTTCTCAACAGCCGTCAGGTAAGCAGCTTGAGGGAATGCTGGACAGGCCAGGCATTCGCAGATTTGATGCTTCAATCCGCTTGGGATACCCTGCTGCTTGGGGTGCGTGCTCGTGAGGTCCACACGTGGATCCGAAGTCGAGTGAAGACTTCTTCTACTGCAGCGCGGCTGGTGTCCGCTTATCGCAGAACCCTTTGCGGGACCCGGGTGGGTGCAGATGCTCAGCTAACTACTCGTAGCGTGTAGATAACACGAGATGACCAGGCAAGCTTGAGGCTCATTCTGCTCCAGACGTTGTAGGAGCTGAGTTTCGTGGTCCAGTGTGCCAAGCTCCTGCAGAAAAGCGGCGCCTTCTCTTCGATACCGCCCTCTTGTGCAAAGGAGACTGTTTGTCTGATTCAGGATACTCATGCTATCTGGGGACACGTGAGGTCAAAGCATGCCGCGTTTACGGCTAAGAGCTGGGCTAGGCGGTTCAAGTGTGTGCGGCACTTGCTTGGGGTGGCTTGCAGGAGGACCAGCGATGCGAGAAGAGCAATGAGACTTCACGAGCAAACGGCAAAGCAGCTGCTCCTTGGCTCGACGAGGTTCTTTCTGATGCCATGCATGGCATGCTGACACAGACCCTGCTACAAAGCCAGGACACGTCTTTAAAAACACAGCGCCTCTCATGACATCTTTGCCTCACACGCAATGGCAGGAAGTTAGCAATGGTAAGGCAGGCCAAAGCCAAAGGAGTTGAAGCCAGAGAAGGGACCAGTACTGATAACGAATCCACAGCATTTGAAGTGGCTAGCAGCTGTTGAAACTGACAGGGCGGTAAAGCAGCATTGGTGCTACTAGCTGTCATGCAAACTATGATCCAGGATTTGGCAGCTAGGCCGGAGAATGTTTTTGGTGAAGTCTAGGTCCTACTGACCAGGGGTGTTGAGCAATAATGCTTGCAAGCACTGGAGCTAGTAAATGTTGCTGTTGCCAAACTATGGTTATTTGGAGTCTGGGTTTTTTCAAACTTTCTCCGTCAGGAGCCGTCCTTTTAAACTTCTGACTTTGGCATGAATTCTCGTCCGGCTGTTACGCGGCCAGATTTTTCCTTCCATGGCGACACTGCTATGCCGAACTGCTTGTAAGGCAGCGCTGGAGGCGGCTGAAGCGTCACCAGACCAAAGCAGAGGTACCCTGATTTCAGGTGGTGTATTCCAGTTTTTTGGGCAAATCATTTCCTATATACATATATCCTTATATAGGCCTATATATCCCTATATTCCTATTCAAGGAAGGTCTCGTTGGCTTTTTGTTCGGAGATGCCACAGATGCCACAGCACTCTGAAGGCAATCCTCTTAGGGGTTTAGGGTTTAGGGTAGGCACATCGCACGCAATTGGTTGGTTGGATCGTGAAATGGTAGTTTCCTAACATAGGGGGACCACATTGTAGACCCCAATATATAACGGTCCTGAATATTGAGACCCCCCTAAAGGGTAACCCTAATTTGGGGAGACCCCTAAACCTCTAAACCGTAACCCTACCTATCTCCATACAACCCCAATAACCCCCTTAAAATGTATCCCTAACTTGGCAAACCCCCCAAACCTTGAGTGATGTGAGATCTCAAGGACCGGTTTGCGACGGTGAGCAGTCCGTGGTTGGCAAGCTGAAGGACCAGCTTACGAAGGCAATGCTTCCACAGTTGTGTATCCACCTGAATAACCCCTATAATACTCCCTACATAACTGTTGTCACAGAGGGGTTC